AAACTCTTCATCAGTTAAAATTCASTATTCTGCAGTTAAACTGACTTGCTGCTGTGGAGAACCTGAATAARGAACAGTTCTGATGACAAAAACAGAATGCATAAATGCAAAAGCTTTAYCTTCCAGCATTTGTTTTATGAAAAACGCGATCCAAGAGTGAGGTGGTGTGATAATTACTGGGTCCGGGATGTTTCTTTTGGAAAAAAGTATTCAGTATCAGGATTTGTTTTCCATCTAGTCAAATTGCACWGTGTTAATCCCGGGTGGATTTCCAGTTCCCCCTGAGAATATCAGCTGGAAATGGAGCCAGCTGAGTTGCGTGTGGTTTTACTTGAAAGAGCATGTCCTTGAGTCTGATTGTCTCATTTCAGACAGAAGGTGGCACAGACATGGGGTATGGGATCCTGGGGCACGGGGGATAAAGAATAAGGCCTGGGTGGGGAATTGCAGCTTTGGAGAAAGCATTTGGAGTTTGTTTATTATTTATTATTTATCGTGTGTTTGGGCTAAAGGTGCGCTGTCTCTTTCTCTCTCAGACTTTTTTTCCGTCTGGTTATCTCATTCCTCTGACTCACTGCACCCATGGCAACAAGGCAGAGTGCTCCAATAAAGAGAAGGCTGGGGTKTGTTCCCTGCAGCACACAGCCTACAGCTCCCCCATCACTGGTGAGTGTGCAGGGAAACGGGCACAGGGGCAGGATTCACCCCAATGCCCTTCAACACCTGGTGTTTCTGTTGCAGGTGTCATTCCAATGCCAGCCTCAGAACTGAAAACAGTCAATATTCCTGCTTTTCATATAACACCCTTGAACATAATGCTGTCACCAACCTCCATAGCTGCTGCCCCTGTACTGAGCAACTCCTGCCTCAATTCGAGCAGCACCACTTCTGCCCCAAATCCAAGCTCTTCAGCTCTCAACTTTATGCTGCAACACATAGGACTAATCCCTGCTGGTGTGCAGGTTCCTGCAAATCCTGTTCTTCAGCACGTGCCAGTCTCTTCCCAGTCAGAAAATATCAGCCACAGCTCAGGAAGCACAAACGTGCAAGAAGGGAAGGTGAGTAAAAATACATTGCAACTCGACCRTGCTGGGTTGAGTGGGAATACAGTGCAGTAATTCCCTTACAGCAGGTAAAATTTGTAAATAAACACTTTTTTTTTGATCTTTAGAAATCAGCACTGCCCAAAAAGAGCTAGCAGTGAAGGCCAGCCTAAGTACAGTAGAAATGAGAGGTTAGCAAGGAAGATAAGTGACTTATTTGTGGTGGAAGTGGAGCCAGCTGGAAGATGACAAGATGTGAAGAGACAACTGTTTTAGAGGGAGGATTTCACATAGATCTGAGATTGTGCTTATTAACAAATTGTCCATTTGCTATTTTGTCTTTCCTTCTTGTTACTTCCCTAATCTAAAGTTCTTGTGTTTAATAAAAGCATTCCTTTTAATAGGATAGGATTGTAGAGGATTTTAAATCCCTTTTTTCCCCACAGGAAGTTTCTCTGTATATTTTATGTAATACTTTGTTGCCTAATATTTGTTTGTATTAAAAAAGAATGGGATTAGAGAAACTATATTTTTATGTATTTAACAAGTAGATGTATTTATATAAAGGAATGCAGGTATGTCCTCAGCAAAAAGTTAAGTTTTTAAATTTCAGGGGGTAAAAAGTTTGCTAGCATCCTGCAGAAACCTAGAAGTAGAAATTACTTTTTATTCCCCCTTAAATGAAATTAACTTTTTTTTTTCTCTTTAGCCTTCTGCTCCAAAGGAACCTCAAGAGCCTCAGGCAGTTACAGAAAACTTTTTCCGCACACCAGGAGGGCCAAACACRGAACCTTCACTATCTGCAAACTCAGATGGTACCCAGAGAATCTCTCAAGGAACTCTATGTATTCCTCAAAGAAAACTTGAAGTTTCAGAAGACTAATTTTGGGATAGGGAATTGCTGACTGTGTTAGCAGGCAAAATGACTGGTAACACACTGCACACGTCTGGCATTGTATGATGGACAATGGTTTGGATATGTATTGCCAAGACCTCAATGCTGGAATAGCCTTAATTAATGCTTTAGAAAATAAAACTGACTCTTAAGGAGAAAGTTAATGCCTMATGCATTTTTCCAAAAGGCTTACCTGAAGTATTTTAACAACAAAGTTACGTATCTAGTGGGTTTTTTTGTGAGTGTATGTTGATTTCTTCTATGCAAAGTAAGCTGAAATTGTCTTTGTACAGAGAGGTACAGTCTATCAGTCAGTACATATTTTGCACCAAAAAAAAAAGAGTACTGTGAGTGTGTACATATTTTATGTCTTAACAAAAAGGCCATAGTTAAAATGTTTTGCTTCTATGTTTAATAATGCTCTTTTGTAAAGTTAGTAAGAAGCACAAAAAAACCCCAAAAATTTCTTAATCAACTTTTATATAAGTTAAGAATTATTTATACTGTATTTTTAAATCGATCTGTTCAGATTAAACTTACAGAAATTCTGCATTGACTTTTTCTGTTTGATCAAATTAATTACCAAAGTAATACATTRTATATTCCCTGGCATCTCTTTATTCTTTTTTTTTGTCAGACAGGGATAGCTGTGTTTTGAAGGAAGGGGGGAAATGGTATTTCATGCAAAAGTGAATTAAGTAACTCGATGTTATTTCCAAATTCTCTCATTGGACAGTACAGCTCCTAAAAACAACAGGTAGGAAGTAAGATATCACCTTGGAGCCTTCAGCAAAGAGTGTCCAAATATCACAGAAATTTTCTAATTCAAACCTCTTGAATTTAAATACAGACAGAATTCTTACATGCTGAAGGAAGAAAAATGAAAGCTCATGGAGTTCACCCTCAGATAACAAGTAATAGCTGACAAATTTACTGAAAATACAGTGTATCTTCTTTCCCAGYTGAAATGTGCCTGGCCAAATTGGGACAGGAGAAGTGGTAGCAAAGGCCAAAATTCAGGCTTGGACTGGGTGAAAAAGCATCGTTAAAACAGCTACCACAGTAAAACCAACTGCCCTGCTCTTAAATAATGCAAAATTCTAACTCAAAACACACCTGACAGAATAGGATCAGCATTGAAATATTCCTAAATGAGGGGGAAAGAGGAATAAAAGCTGGAAGAGGGAAGAATTCTCATTCCAGCACTGAGTAGATTTTTCTTCTCCAAAGAGRTAATTGATCTTACACCTGCTGTCAGGTTCATTCTGGAAATATAAAGGCAAAGGTTTTAGAAACTTTCATTGCTYAATGGAAACAAACTGCAACTCTTTCCTTTTTGAACACCTCAGCTGACAGASTAAGAACCTGCAGTGCTGAGCTTGGTGAAGTGCTCTCCTCCCCTGGTTTGGAGAGCTGAGCTCATTTTCTGGGTGTCCTCAGCTCCTGGCACACCRCAGGAGCTTCTTCACCAGCACTGCTCTCTCTGCCTTTTGAGTTTGCAGATTGAAGAGCTGCTGCTTCTCTGCTCCATGGCTCCCAGAATGGATTTGTCTCTGGTAGCCCAGCTCCCTGCTCTTCCCATCTTCCTCACCTGCCCTGGAATGGGACCCCGGTGCCTGCTGTGCCCTGGGCTGGCTTTGCCTTTGATTTTTTCCAGTTCTCAGGGCAGGGTTTTTAATACCAGCCTTTAATGTACAGAAAAATATTCTCCAGTTTGTGCATGGACAGATTCAGTTGAAGATTTCAAGCCTTTTCTTCCAATCCCAGCTCTTGCTGACCACAGTTGACCGGGATTTATTTGAAATGTCAACAAACGTGGARCTGTAAAGAGCCTCTCAAGAACTCATCCCCAGGGGSATGCAGTWGCACAGAAATTCAGCAGTACTCATYAGGAAAGCTAAAGGTCGTTCAYCTGCATTCTCCCCTTAAATCCTCTGCCAGATTCAAAGAAAAAATCCTTAGGTTTTGCCCCAAAATGTTTCTGCACTGATTTCCCTGCAGTTGGTTTTGGTGCAAATCCATCCGAGTATGTGATCTATAAAACATGAGTGAAGATTAGGGAAGGTTCATCTCTCCACATTAAAAAATCCTTGCCAGACTCAACAGCAAATGGATTTATAGGTTCCTAAGACTTTTCTTAACAGCCTCAGCTAACAGACCCCTAAAATCCTAAAGTCTGATGTGGATTTGACATCTAATTTCCCTACACTTCCATGAAAGCCTGTGAGTTGAGACTTTCAGCTTCAGAGTTGTGGTGTTTAACCCCTGGACAGGGCCTTTTGCACACAGCCAAGTCCATGATCCTGAACAAAGTTGCTGAATTCAGGCATCGCTTAAGAAAATGAGAATTAGCTTCTGAACCTTTAAAGCCCTTAAAATAAAAYCCTGCAGAAAGGTGTTTCATACTTTACTGCCCCCATCTCTGCCACATCTCCAAAGGGCCCAGTCAGGCAGGGCAAATATAACTGCAGTAAYTGGACAGGCTGAATATTGTACATATTAGCCACCCATCTCAATGTCTAAAACCAGTAAAAAAGGAAAAATGTGAGTGAAAAGCATAATTCTCTGTGTCCTAGAGGACAAATCAGCTGCATCCATCAAACCATGAACTGCAGCATGAAATGCTATCTAGTTTAAGACTTGTTTTATAGGGGGTGCCACAAACAGGTTTTGATTTATTATTATTTCTAACAATTGTTTTTGTCAATTATTTTTGGCAATGTGACCATTAATCACTAWATCCTCATTTCAGGGACTGTTACTTTATGATTCACATTTAAGCAATGCAATAGAGCAACCATAAGACTTTAATCTTTATTTGTGATCTGTTAGGCTGCAGTCAGGAATGTCCTTTAGGTGTAATCCGAGGGGCTGCATTGTTGTCCACCTACTCACAAGTGGACACAGGGGAACTAAATGCCAGGCTTTTGTCAGAGGTTATTTTCAGCGTGGTGATAGCAATGGCATTGCTCAGATCCCTGAAACTCTCCCTCCCCTCCCTTCCCAGCTTATAGGGCTGACAGAGGTGGTCACTGCATTTAAAGAGAGCAGGAACCCCTCCCGTCCAAACCCTTTGAAACCCTAAGGAAGGAGGGAGAGACTCGGAGCGACTCCGGTAAGTGGAGACTCAGGGGCTGTCTGATCAAGGGTTTGGGGAATTTCATTTGTTTCATTTCATTCCTAATAAATGATAGAAGCAGCTTRTTGCCTGACCAAGAAAACCATGTAGGTTTAGTACAGAAATATGGATCTTACAGGGCAGTGGTTTTGGTTTGGAGTAGCCAAGCAGAAAGGGATTCCTCTGGCTCAGCCAGGCAAGCAGCTATTGGTGTTGGAAGAGTGTGGCTGTGGGGATCCTCACCAGGGACACTCATTTGGACCAGGAAAAACTGGATGGCAGAAATTTCAGAGTGTTTAAAAACCTTGTTACAAAGCTACAGAATTATTTTTCTGCATTTAGTCTTTAAAAAAGAGCACATACAAAGCAAATTTATGTGCTTTTATGCTAGTATTCTAGAAGTAAAAAACCAAACCAAAAGCCCCCCCAAAATCTTAAAAATATTTCATGTCAGTGACCAATTGGTTTCATAACAAAAAAAAGAAGAAAACTTCTATGCAGACTTGACAAAAAATGGCCAGGTAAGATTGTAGGATGAAAGAATTATTCCCACATCCATCATTTGAGCATTACAAGACAGCGTGGTTGGTCAAGTCTCCAGAAAAGCCCCAGTAATTTAAATAAATAAATAAATACATAGATGTTTTTATTATGGGAACTTTTCTACCTAAAGGTGAAACTTATGTAGATAAAATAATTCTGTGTCTTACCTCAATCATCACAGAGCTATTTCAAAGTTTGCAGCAGTTTTGCCTGGCACTTAGAGGATGCAGTGCAGGGTTGAGGATTTAGAGAAGGATCTTGTGGAAGGAACAGTGAAAGCTCACAGCCCAGGATAARGCCTGGAAAAAGGAATKGGTGGTTTGTGCAGCAGGACAGAGYTTTCCCAGCCACGTGGGTCAGACTGAACCCAGTGCAAACACAGGGCACTGCTGGTTTCTAAGTCAGAATGAAGTCAGGACACCGTAATTTTTGAAGATGAGATCTTAAATTTCTGCCAAATTGCGCAGCAGGGAAGTTTCAAAGGAAATGTGGCGTCACTGTACCAGGAAATAACAAATAATGTGGAAGGGCAGAGATGAAGGCGAGGGAAGGGGTGCTCTCAACTCTCAGCTGCGCTCACCTCGTGCTTCAATTGAACTCTTCTGTTTCAAGGGCCCTGTCCAAGTCAGAGTGACCAGTGTCAATGAAAAATGACAATATCAATATTTGCTTTCTGACGTCAGTGCTGGAACTCCCATCCCTGGGCCCCTCTGTACCACAGAAATGAGGGGAAATGCTGGTTGTTAGGAGATGGCGGTGGAACTCAATGCACAACGCTAAGAACATTTACCCGTAGCCACAGTCCCCTGAATGCACTGCAATATCAGAAACATGATTATAAACACGTAGCAAGATCACATCTGCATCAAAAGAGCTCAGCCTTCAAACACAAACGCTCCCTGTGCCSTGAATCTCTCCCGCTGAGGGAGAAATGTGCTCCTCCAGGGGCTGGATTTGGACAGAAACGCCTCCAGGCTGCTGGAGATGAGCAGCAGGAGTTGTTCTTTGCGCTGCAGACACGTCAAAATAAAACCTCACTGTGAGCTCTGGCTGCAGAGAAAAAACACAGCAGCATTTTCTCGCTGCTGTAGAAAGAAAGATGTTTCTGGTGAGCCCCAGAAATGCTGGGGGTGAGGAGCACTGAGTCACGGTGGTCACAGGACAGGTCACAGCTCTGATTAGATACCAGAGCAGAGCCCTGGCTGTGCTGGCATCCCCACAGATTCAGCTGGGAAAAGAACCTCAAACACAGCCTTGGTATTTTGCATTTCGTGTTCAGCAAGGAAGCACCAGAATTAATTCCAATGAATTCATTACATTTTTCACCTGCAGCATGGGCAGGTATCAGTGCATTTCAAAGTAGACAGCGGTGTTTGAGTTTGATATTATCACTGCTTGTTGGGTAGGTAGGGAATCCAGGAATTGGGATTTTTAAACCGAGCCTGGGCCGAGCAGCTCAGCTGGGGCTGAAACAGGGAGAGATGTGAGGAACAGCATTTCTGTCTCCAGTGACCACAAAGATGGATATTCATGGTCCTGTTCATCCCTTCAGAGCCATCCTGCAGCAGTGTGGCACTGGGAAAGCCCTCCCAGCCACAGAGCCCACAACTGCTGAGCTCCCTTAGCATCACAGAACACCCAACTACAGGAACACCTACAAAGTGGAAAAAACCTCGTGTTCAGCAAGGAAGAACCAGAATTAATTCCAATGAATGCATTACATTTTTCACCTGCAGCACAGTCAGGTATCAATGCTGCCTTTTACCCCTCCAGGGCAGCACTGCGTCCACCACCCCTTTAGAGCAACAAAATGTATTTTTGGCTGATCTCCTGATCAATAGGGCTTTGAKGGGAGCAAGGCTCTCTGTGGCAGTGATGTGACACCCAGATTGGTGCAGCATGACTAASAGCCCAAAAGAAGGTGGCTCACAATGTCTTCATGCCTGTGCAGAGCACACCAACCCTTCAAAGGCTGCCTYGCCCTGTCCCAGCCTCCAAAGCAGTGACACAAATCCCAAATCACGGGAGGCACGAATCCTTGGGCACACAGCTCGTGTGTAAATCCAGCTCCACAGGGAAGCAGCGTTCTGAGGGATGTGAAAGCTGCTGAGCAGTAACTGGACAAGGCCAAGAATGCTCCCCCAGTCCAGCAGCACCCTGAGTGCCCCACATCCAACACTGACACGCAGAAATTTCTGTGTCACACATTCCTTGTGTTCAGGATGAGTCTGCTCTGCTTCCCAGCAGATCACCGGGGTGTAACAAACACCAGGCGAGGAGCAGACACTGCAGCTTAGCCAGAAAAAGATAACAAAGTTCAGGGAAATTCAAGGGGATTTAGGCACTGACACCCAATGAAATTATGGGGAGTGGAGACTTCAAATTTGGGTTTTTTTGATGGCAAATTGGAGACTGAGTTCTGTTTGCACATTGTGGGATGGAGGTTTGCCCACTGTTACAACTGAGGTGAGTAGAAAACTACGAATTCCACACTCCCTGTGGGGTTTTCTCACTCGTGGTGGCACTGCTAAACCCACAGGGGTGGTCACTCATCTCCAGAGGGATCAGCACAGGAGGAGCAGGGATGTGCCCTGGTGTCTGACCCCACTGCTTCCCCAAGCCAGCGTGGACGCCACGGCAGGCTCTGACACCAGAATCCCCCCTGGAATATTTCTACTGTGCCTTTCTTCTGTCTCCTGCAGCTTCCCATCAGGTGATGCCACAAAAACATGGAAAATGTTTGTACATGCCCAGTCACGTTGCTATAATTAGCCTCAGGAACAATGGTTCTTGTAAGAGCTTCAGCCACGGGCCCCTGACAGCACCAGGGTYGCTATCACACTTTATCAGACTTTTTCAGAGATTATTTATTTTCCCCCCTTTGGCTGATGATGTAATTGGAGCTGCTTTCCAAGATTATCCTGCTGTCCCAGCCCTGGTGTGCCTTTGAGGAGCACTCACACAGCAGAAGGAGTTTTACACACACCAGAGGCACAAACCCCTCTCCTCCCAGGCTGCTGCCAGCGCTGCCTCAGCTGGGAAGGGATTCTGCTGGRAACCTGATTTGAAAGGGAACACTGTGGACACAAAAATCTCGTTTAAATTTTCAAGAAAGAGTCAAAAAMCTGAGTTTTATCCCCGGTGGTTCTTTTAAAATGTTTGAAGCATCGCTTGAACTACTTTCRTAGGAGAAAAAAAGTGGCACCAACACAAAAGTACTTTAAAAATAGAAGAAAATACTGAATGGCAGAGTGAGAATAAGATCTTTACCTACATGAAAGATTCCTTTATGTTCCTTTATCTCACATTTAAAAGAAATAGAAAAACCAATTTAACAGTGCTGTTCAATGAAGGCTTCACGGAGTGAGAGAGATCAAATTCATCAACTGCTCATTGTGCGTAGTTACTTTTGTTTCTTATTTCAGGGTTTTTTTTGCTTCTCACTTGTTACATCAGAGATAAAGAGAGTCAGAAGAAAGCTGAGTTTCCTTTTCCTTCCTACACCGTTCCTGTTTTGGAAGTGCCAGAGCAGTTCTGCTCYTGAGCAGGAATTGAATCCTGAAGGATTTCAAAGAGTTCACTTTTGCTGTTGTATTTATWGGTGCAATCTGCTCTCCTGGGTGAACYYTTCAGAGAAAAGGATGCTGAACTGGGGAGAAGGAGCCAAGGGGTCTTGCACGAGGGTGACAGGGACGCTGCTTGGTGACAGCAGTGCTTGTTTTATCACACAGGGTAGGGATGTGCTGGGAATTGTGAGCTTTGGGTGGGCTGCACTGAATGCAGAACCTGCCTGCCCTACCACATCTCCAGTGCTGCTTCTTCAGGCTGTGCCCCTTCCTTTTTTGGGGACAGACATCTCCTTTACACCACTGCAGGATTTTTGGTCTCGGGTGCCAGAAAGGATTCCCTTCTGCAGAGCTGGTGTATAGACATGGCTCATTTTGTTCTGAAATTCAGGATATTGCAGTGCAGGAGTCACCAAGATGATGACAAGCACAGGACAGAGTGTCCAATGTAAATATAGAGTAAAATGTCAGTCTAAATGCAAGTAATTAAAGTAATTAAAGTAATTAAAGTAATTCTGTTGCATCACTGCTGTGATAAATTCCCCTCTCTCCATCACTTGACCTCAGAACAAAATTCTCAGGTAGCAGGCTTGATTCAGCCCTCAGAATGGTCCTCTCAGCCCAAAGTACCTTTTGGTGAATTGAATCAAGCACAAATAGCCCGAGCAGGCTCCAAAGTCACTATAATAAGAAGGTGACAGGTTTTCCAAGGAGGAGGAGGAGGAAGGCCTTGCCAGGAACTCGGAACAGCCCGATAAAACCATGTGCAGGTGCCAAGGTGACGTTCCCGGGCTTTCCAGAAAYCATGACTCAAACAGAGAGCAGAAGGGCAGGCTGGGGACAGCACTGTCACAGCAAAGGGCACCCAGCCTGGCACAGGGAGCTGCTCCTGCCCTCCCTGGTGACCTTGGGCGAGGTGCTGTGACAGCCAGGGCTGAGCAGGACCTGCTGCTCTTCATCACTCTGGGGTTCAGATTGTTAATGAATCGACAAGGAAAGAACCTGTCCATGATTGCCTCACAGCAGCACATCATCCCAAAGCTGTGCCAGCAGCAACTGGGAAAAGGGCTACAGGAGAGGGCAGGATCCAAAGGAAATGACTGTGTGGGAAAACAAATCCCAGATCCTCTTTTCCAGAAGAGGGTTGAGGGATCCCGGCACCTTTTCATGGAAACACCCCGCAGTAATTTCAGGTATTTACCATCAGTGTACCAAGCTAAGGAATATCCTTGTTTATGAGGGAGGATCACAGGGATTTGGGCAGTCCCAGAACGGTGCCCTCACTTCTCCAACCACAGCTGTCTGTAGCACATGCAAGGACACAGCAGCAGTTGATTGGAGAAGGAGGGTAAGAAACAATAACTTTTTAAATACCAAACTGCTCCATTTCAAAGAGTTCACTTTTGCTGYTGTATTCATTGATGCCATCTGCTGTCCCAGGTGAACCCTTCAGAGAAAAGGATGCCSAACTGGGGAGGAGGAGCCAAATGTGGCGCCTGTGAAAAGACAGTGTACCACGCCGAGGAGATGCAGTGCAACGGGAGGAGCTTCCACAAGTCSTGCTTCCTCTGCAGTAAGCTGGGCTGAACTGGGTTTAACTTCACAGAACCTTTGTTTTTGTTTGGCTAGGCAGGAAGTTTGGCAGCTTTGACCCGGAGCAATGTGCCTCTCGGGCTCCTGGGTGTCTKTGTCCACACCTTGGGTGGGTTTGGTCAGGGACACAGGAGCACTGCACCATCCCAGGATTTGGTCTCTCTCCAGGAAATCCTTCCTTCTGTCCCACAGTGAGGCACAGCACAGGTTTGCCTCAAGCTGGAAGTCCATCAGAACTAAACAAACTCATCAGACAGGGGATGGTTACTGTTTTCACTCTTTTCAGGAAATCCTTCTTTCTGTCCCACAGTGAAGCATTGCACAGGTTTGCCTCAAGCTGGACTAAACAAACTCATCAGACAGGGGATGATTACTGTTTTCACTTTGAGGAGATGATTCTTTCACAGTGAATTCTGACATTAATTCATTTCACACTGAAAAGCTGGAACACCCTGGTGTCATCAAAAGCTCCCACCAACACYCTGCATGTACCTCAGTCTCCTCCTTCCCATATTTCACCTACTCTTGCCCTCCACATTCCTCTGTGATGTTTGGCTTCCAGGAATTTTGCTTTCTCTGAAGATGAGGTAGCATTTAAAAAAAACCAACCAAACAAAAAAACCAGAGACAAGGTATCAATTCAGCTCTGTTTGCCCTTTGTGGACAGGGACAGCGATCAGCTTGGCAGGAACTCAACAGCTGAAGGGTTTATTTTGCAAAGAGTTTACCTTTGCAGTATGAATCCTGGCGTGGTGACATTAAAATGATGTGTAAAATTCCAAATGATGCCTTTGGTGATGCCTAAAAGTAAGAAAGAACCCCTKTGAAAAGTTTTCAGTTAACTGACAGGCCTCAGCCAGCTCTTACAGAGTGGAAAAAGAAAAACCTCAGTCTCAACTCACACCTTACTGCTTCCATGCTCTGCCTATAACAACTAACACTAAATAAAAATGAAGAGCTCTCCTAAGAGAGCACAGTTACAAATATTTCTCAAGTGWAAGTTTCATTCTTAGTACAACTGAATTTCTTTTTTTATTGATTCATGATAAACAGCATACATCCATTGGCTCCAACAAATATTTGGTCTGTTGTGGGGCTTTTCTTGGTTGGTGGTGTATTTTTTTGTGTTTCCATTTTTTAAAAATTTTACTTTACTTGCCCCTTGTAGTTTTAAGTATTAATTAAATTATTAATA